GCCCATTAAACGGGTTGGGCTATGGGCAAGGTATTGGGCTGCCCATACCCGCCCGTTTTAAGTTTTAATTTTAAAAAATATTTTTTTCATTTAATTGATGATATTGTTTCTCATTCATCTTTTATCAAACCTTCATGCTTGTCTAAGCTTTTATTTTATCCTTTAGGTGAAAGTTGGAACTTTCAATGTTTATGAGACTTTATGATTGGTGACTACTTTTATGATTTTATCATACTTTGATTGTTTGCAATCTAAGTGAGGTTGTGTGATTGAATATGATTGATGTTATTTCATATTTGATTTGCTATTTGGCATGCAAAATTTATTGACAGCTTCATAAGGTTACTATAAAAAATAACTATACTGAAAAAAATTTAAAAATTTAAAAAAAATAAATGGGTTACCCCGTAACGCGGTTAGCCCAAACGGACTGCCCCGTAACCCATTTAATACGGGCTAAATGGGCTACTACCGGGTTATGGGTTAGCCCATGCCCATTTATAAATAAATGGGCGGGTTATGGGCTAACTTTCGGGTTAGCCCATCCCGCCCATTGCTCAGCCCTACTCATTCATGAGTCCTAGCAGTGTAATTATGATGCACCCATTTGATGTAATCAACATTAGAAAATGTAATCCTCTTTACATTATATAAGTCCAACCAAACATTTAAATTGGGTCTTTGCATCAAGATTACATGTAATCTTCTTTCATAGAATTGAACCAAACATGCTCTAAGGTTCCATTTATGGCAATCCTTTAAGTTTTATATAAAATCATTTTTAACTAATTCATTAACATAGAAAGGATTGGTTAAAATTAATTGATGTTTTTTTTTAAATGATCTCATCTTTCTCATATTGTCCGGCATTAATTAACTATGAGCCTATTAGGAATGTTTTATAACCAACTTTTTAATGATGATTTATGAAATACGAAATAAGTATATAAAATAGTTTTTATTTCGACTTACCTGAAATATGTTTATAAATGATTTTAAATGTTAATCCAAACAAAAGCCTATACCAATCTTACCTATCTCATGTAATCTCTCTGACTCTCTCCATATAGATATAGTTATATTAATATCAAGAGTATTGTTAGAAAAATATTAATAGCTACGTAATTTTTATAAAATAACATATAAATAAAAATGTAAAGAAAACATTTAGAACATGAAAATAGGAGTGTAAACAATGGGAGTTATTATTACTTTGTATGAAAAAAGACAAAAATTAATATAGAGCAAGAGACTAAAACTCGTTAAAGTTCATAACTTTTTATTTCTCATAACAACTAACATAATATATCCAACAAAAATCCTTAGCATTTTACAAGTCCCCAAAAAAAGAAATAAAAATTGGTTTGCTTGTTTTGATGTTCTCTCATATTCCGAGTAGTAACTTCCAAGACGCCTTAACAGCCACAAATGGCATTCAATTTCAGGGGTAGCCGTTGAACCCGCCCAATCCGTAAATGTCGTTCCCCAAATAACACACATCCCTTGTTCTTGAACCCGCCCAAATTTCGGAGCCTCCCTCGTTTTCCTCTCCTCTGTTTCTTCCTCGTCTTCCTTTTACAGATTCGGATCACACTCTCTTCCATTTTCTGGCAAATGGGACTTCAAGCTCCCCGCTTTTGTTCCCAATGACGCTACATTTTTTGCTTGTGATGCAGTTTACTGCAAAGAAACCAACCTGTGGCACAATGAGCATATCAAGCCCAGAAACAAAGGAGACTGAGAAGTGAGAATCACAGAATCTCCACCTTAATTTCTTCATTCTTGTAGGATAGGAGGCATCAGAGTTAGAGCATACGGCATTGGACGATGGAGACTTATTTACAAGAAAACTTTGAAGTGAAGTCCAAGAACTCATCTGAAGAGGTTCTTCAGAATTGGAGAAAACTCTGTGGGATTGTTAAGAATCCCAAAAGGAGGTTTCGCTTCACTGCTAATCTCTCCAAGCGAGGCGAAGCCGCTGCCATGCGTCGCACCAATCAGGTATTTCTTATTCCGTAAGCCAGAAGATTCGTATCTATCGGTAAACACACGCATGATTTCTTGTTTTTGTGATTGTCATGTTGTTTTTTGTGTTTCTATGGACGACTGCGAATAAGTTCAACGACTCTGAACCTAGCTTAATGGCTTCTACATGCTAATCGAGATAACTATCAAAACTTAAAGATCTATTTAACACTCGAAAATGCTCACAGAGAATTTGTTCCCCCCGCTTTTTTCCCCTCAAATGAAAACAACATATAGAAATGGAATGTTACATGTCAATGTAATTTTTCTAAATAAGTCAGTTTCCACTCAATGTAGGAGAAATTGAGGGTTGCTGTTTTGGTTTCCAAAGCTGCATTTCAATTTATCCAAGGTGAGTAGATATCTTCAGCTTGACTTAAGCTTATACTGCAGGTTGAGAGAGTTTCACAGAGAGATGCATATATTCATAAAACAAATTTCATTACTTGCAATTACGCCTGCAGGTGTGCAACCAAGTGATTACAAAGTACCTGAAGAAATTAGAGAAGCAGGCTTTCAGATCTGTGCGGATGAATTGGAGTCTATTGTTGAAAGACACGACATAAAGAAGCTAAAATATCATGGTGGGGTTGATGGTATCTCAGAAAAGCTTTCTACCTCAACCACTGATGGTATTAGCAATGACTCCGACCAACTTATCAAGAGACAAGAAATTTACGGAATCAACAAATTCATCGAGAGCGAAGCCCGTAGTTTCTGGGTTTTTGTTTTCGAAGCCCTTCAAGACATGACGCTAATGATCCTAGGCGTGTGTGCTCTTGTGTCTCTCGTCATTGGAATAGCGACAGAAGGATGGCCCAGAGGAGCTCACGATGGCCTAGGAATCGTCGTAAGTATCCTTCTGGTCGTGTTTGTGACAGCGACAAGTGATTATCGCCAATCATTACAGTTCAGGGATTTAGACAAGGAGAAAAAAAAGATTGCCATGCAGGTCACAAGAAATGGGTATAGGAAAAAAATGTCGATATATGATTTAGTTCCCGGCGACATTGTGCATCTTGCTATAGGAGATCAAGTCCCCACAGATGGACTCTTTGTTTCAGGATTCTCCGTGTTGATCGACGAGTCAAGTTTAACTGGAGAGAGCGAGCCAGTGATGGTGAATTCCCAGAATCCATTTCTTCTCTCTGGAACTAAGGTTCAAGATGGATCCTGCAAGATGTTGGTCACAACTGTAGGAATGAGAACTCAATGGGGTAAATTAATGGCTACATTGAGTGAAGGTGGAGACGATGAAACGCCATTGCAGGTGAAACTGAATGGAGTGGCCACTATCATAGGGAAGATAGGCCTATTCTTCGCGGTTCTTACTTTTGTAGTTTTGATGAAGGGACTTATGGCACGTCGACGACATGAAGGAAGATTTTGGACTGTGTCTGGGGACGACGCCATGGAGATGTTGGAATTCTTCGCCGTTGCAGTTACAATCGTTGTCGTTGCTGTCCCTGAAGGGTTGCCATTAGCTGTGACGCTGAGCCTTGCGTTTGCTATGAAGAAAATGATGAACGACAAAGCCCTTGTTCGACATTTGGCTGCCTGCGAGACCATGGGTTCAGCGACAAGTATATGTAGTGACAAGACAGGAACGTTGACGACCAACCGCATGACTGTCGTCAAAACATGCATTTGTATGAACATCAAGGAACTGACCAATGAGGAGAAGGATTCTTCTAGTTTTCGCTCTGAGTTACCAGATTTTGCTATGAAATTGTTACTAGAGTCGATATTTAATAATACTGGAGGAGAGGTTGTGACTAAAAGAAAAAGCAAAAGGAAACGTGAGATCCTGGGGACGCCTACAGAAGCTGCAATATTGGAGTATGGGCTGTCACAAGGTGGGGATTTTCAGAAAGAGAGAAAAGCATGTAAGATTGTGAAAGTTGAGCCATTCAACTCAGAAAAGAAAAGGATGGGTGTAGTTGTGGAGTTGCCTGAAGGAAATTTTCGAGCTCATTGTAAAGGTGCTTCTGAGATCGTTCTAGCTGCTTGTGACAAAGTGATCAATTCAAACGGAGAGGTCGTACCCCTTGATGCAGAGAAAAGTGATTATCTTAAAGAAACAATCCACTCATTTGCTTGTGAGGCACTTAGAACTCTATGCCTTGCCTATGTGGAATTGGAAAATGGGTTCTCTGCTGAAGATCCCATTCCTATTTCTGGATATACTTGTATAGGAATCATTGGTATCAAGGATCCTGTTCGTCCTGGTGTTAGGGAATCTGTTGCAATCTGTCGCTCAGCAGGAATAAGAGTAAGAATGGTCACAGGTGACAATATTAATACTGCAAAGGCTATAGCCAAAGAATGTGGGATTTTAACAGACGATGGCATAGCAATAGAAGGCCCAGATTTCAGAGAGAAGACTCAGGAGGAAATGTTTGAACTAATTCCCAAAATTCAGGTGATTCATATGATTGCTTCAATACTTATGAACCATCAACATTATTGATGTTTTCAATAACACAAAGTGCAATTTGTTTTCCAGGTTATGGCCAGATCCTCACCACTAGATAAGCATACTTTAGTGAAACAACTGCGTACTACGTTTGGAGAAGTTGTGGCTGTAACTGGTGATGGAACGAACGACGCCCCTGCCCTTCATGAAGCAGACATTGGACTTGCAATGGGCATTGCTGGAACTGAGGTGAGTCCAAACCAAACATTGCATGGTTTAAATAAGTACAAGATAGCGTTAAAGAGAAAGGAAAAGCCCATAACAAGTGGTGACAATAACAATGTGATTTGTGAACAGGTTGCTAAAGAAAGCGCTGATGTCATAATTCTGGATGATAATTTCTCTACTATAGTGACAGTGGCAAAATGGGGACGTTCAGTTTACATAAACATTCAAAAATTTGTCCAGTTTCAGCTGACAGTTAACGTGGTTGCCTTACTAGTGAACTTCAGTTCAGCATGCACAACAGGTATGAGAACCAACCTCACTAGTTCACCTCACTTTATGAGCTTAACATCCCGCTTCAATTCCTTCTTTCTAAATCCTATGATCGTAATTAATGAGTTTCCTTGTTCAGGAAGTGCACCTCTTACGGCAGTTCAATTATTGTGGGTGAACATGATAATGGACACACTTGGAGCACTTGCCCTGGCAACTGAACCTCCAAACGACGAACTAATGAAACGTTCACCAGTGGGAAGGCGGGGAAGTTTCATCAGCAATGTTATGTGGAGGAATATCTTAGGCCAATCTCTATATCAAGTCCTAGTGATATGGATTCTCCAGGCCGAAGGGAAATGGATCTTTGGAATGAAGGGTCCAGATTCTGATATCTTGTTAAACACACTTATTTTCAACACATTTGTCTTCTGTCAGGTAATTCATCTATCTCATTTGAATATGGAAGGAAGAACATTAAACTGAAGCATTTGATATCACGTGCCGGTTTTGGCATCTGCAGGTTTTCAACGAGATAAGCTCACGCGAGATGGAGGAAATAGATGTTTTTAAGGGCATATTGGATAATCATGTTTTCGTGGCTGTCATAAGTGTCACTGTTTTGTTTCAAATAATAATAGTTGAGTATTTAGGAACCTACGCTAACACCACACCCCTTGCTCCCATCTACTGGTTGTTTAGCGTTTCCATTGGATATTTAGGCATGCCCATTGCTGCTCACTTAAAGAAGATCCCTGTCTGAACCATCCCTATGAATCACAGTTGTATATTCTCTCTAAGCTTTGTTGGTAAATTTAGCATGTTAGTAATCAAGTCACTGTGAAACCATCACTTACCCATTTTATCTAATGCATTTTTTCTTAGTGATAAGAGTCACTGGTACAGACACACATGATGGTGTATGATTGTGTCCAAATTGGAAAACAGTCTCTGTTTGGAACCGCGGGAGACGTAGGACGATTCCCACCCAATGCACAACCAAATGTGGCAACGTAAGAGTATTAATTTGGTCCCTCCCCCTTTATCGTTCTTGGCATTTAGTTTTGAGCCAGACAAATAATTTCTTGTCCAATCAAAAGAAGCTAAACAGAAAAGAACACAAGAACGTTTTCCCTGTGGAATACATAAGAACAAAACCCCTTTAGTCGTACGATAGTGAACATATTGTGGTCCAACAAACACCTCTGCAACCCCTCTGCCTGACAGTTATGCATACGGAAGCAAAATTTGAACTTCAACGCAACTAGCCAAACTCACTTCTATTGCCATTGTCCTTTTCATTGGCCATATTGCTGAACTAAGGAGACCCTTACTATTGCACGCCATTTTCTTCTGCATATATGGTGCAGGCATTAGTCGGTGAAACTAACTGCGATCCTAAATTATTATCACCTTATCATTGAACATGTGAATCCTGTTTTACGTTTACCTTGGAAATCCTAGTTATCTGTCAGTCTGGGTCAGTATAACCACACTATGAATAATTGGATATCAACAAGTACAGCTTTTTTAACCAAGAAATGTGGAGGACGAAAGAATCTGGGTCGGTAATAGAAATGTGCATGTGAACCAGTTAGGAAGGGAACAATAAGCTGGTCACGGTAATTTGTTTACACCATAATACAAGGTTGGGGCCAGACTGGATGACTCTCTGCATATTCATCCTCCCTACAAGAGCATGTGGATTCTGACACAACCCTCTTATGAATCTCATCCTCCGTATCTCTAATTTCATGGTGATAAACTGGGCCCTACTCCCTACTTTAGTTTAGCAAATAGCAATCTCAGCTCATCGTGTTATCTACTAGATATAGGGATGTCTCTTGATTTGTCCACATATAATACATACGTACAGAAATGTTGTGTGTGAAAGATGGAAAGTGAGGGTGACAATGGCATATAATGTTAGAATGCATAAACTTAAGGAGTAAAAAAAGGAGAATAGAACATTTCTCTGAAGGTGGGTGGCAACCAAAACATGTACAAAGTGAGCTGTCAGATTGCCTAGTTTGATCGTCTGATTTGTGATACATTATCAAGGATTTTAATTACTACCAATGCACTGTACTGAGGATTTACCATTTTCAGGGCTATAGTAATATTAATGCATCAATAATCAAGGTACAGAAAAACAGTTTAAGCAAAGTTTCTCGGCCCTGTTCAAAAAAGGTCCTCTCACTTCCCAAGCAAGCAAAATCACACTCAACTTTACAAGCTTTCTTTAATGGCCCCGCCCCAAGTGCTTCTCAGATACAGCAAATCAATCAAACCCTAACGCCTCATTCTTCCTTCCTGGCTTTCAGCCTTTTCAAAGACATCACAATCTCCCTCTCATAGGGCAGGATTGCCCCAGTCCTACCATGGCTTACATGCTTAGGCCAAAAATAAATAAATAAATAAATGCGGTTGAAAAAGTGGCAATAAGCAATTCAAGAAAACAAACACTGCCCTGCATCACAGTGGAAAAATAGCCTTCAAACAGCTCATATGGCTCTTGGACTTTTAGTCACCTTCATTCTTCCCTCTTACGGTAGGCTAATTCTATCTGCTCTTCTTCTTTTTTTTTCTTTATTTATTTACCTTCTTTTCCTCTGTCATGGTTGTCACTGGTTGACACTTTAGTAGGGTATGTGGAAAATAAAACCCCAATGATCAAATACCAAATCATTCCACGAACTGGTGGTTGGCACTCATTAGCAGACCTATGAACTATGAAAGAATAAAATCTTCAGTGGAAAAAAGATCATATAATCCAATCAGTAAAAAACAATTAATCTTCCTATAACTAAGGTCGATGTATCTTTTGTTCAGGATAGCTTTCAGTTCCGCTTTCTAGGAAAGTGAGTTTTCTCTTGGTCCCAGAAGAAAGAACAGAGGCATTCTCCAAAACATCTGTGAAGCTGGAATGTGTTGACAACAAATTTGAGTCAGGAGTCTTAATTTTCCTTCTCTCTATTTCCTGCATTAGATTGTAACAGGAAAATACAAGTTCCTGTTGGATAACATTAAAGAAAATTCCATCAAACTGTGTTCTGTTCCTCCAATTGTTTTATCTAAATAACAAAGATTGGAAGCAAAAAGATCAAACAAACTCACACTTTCTAGGGACCCCCAGGATATCGAGCTTAAACAAAGATCCACACTGTGTCTCGTCAATGTAGCGTCAGAAGCTGCTAATATGGCAGCAGAAGCAATAACAGATGGACGATGATCTGTTAAACTAATATCTGCGTGGAACAAAAATCAGTTATGCTATCTGTTAAGGGATTTTATTCAGTGTACATTGTGAAGATGAATTACCTTTCACGATTGCCATAATATGGCCTACAGCTCTTGAGATTATTGCTTCTGGCTTGGATTCCAAGGAAAATTTCTTGACCAAGTACCGCAGATATGCAAAAGGAGTCACGGATCCCATTTTCCATCCCAAGGAATCCAAAATTAGTAATTCCATTTTCCTAATCACTTTATTCTCAAAGCAATATTCTTTTCCCGGTAATTCAGATAGAGTTGGTACGTTTTGCTCTTCCATTTTCGCTGCCAAAGATAAACATGCCATCGATAATAATTGAAAGGCCCAATCTTTCGCTTCCTACATTAGAAATAACAGAAGCAAATCAAAAGTGTAATTCAAAAAAACCAAAAGCAATATGAAATCATCAGGGAAACTCGATTTCTCACATCAATGGATCGCCTTGAAAGGAATTGATCGAAATAAGTCACTGATAAGTAAATGGTGTGAGATTTAAACCCAAATTTCGCCCCTGTCTGAATCAAAGCAAAAGAAAGAAGTTCTCCATCAATTCAAGGGGGGGAAAAGCAGGGATTTTTCAAAACAAGAAAAATCAAGAAAATGGCTGGGTTGGCTGACGGAAACTAACGTTGAAAATCCAGTCAATGGCACCCACACGAGCACTCTTGAGACATTTAGCAGCACTTGTTGAGCAATCATCACTTGGGGGTGCAAACCCCATTTCTCTTTTAAACAAAATCTCAATGTACTCCTCTTCATCCTCGAAAACAGAACATGGGTTCATCCAGTCCATGCCAGAATTCTCATCACCAACCTTCAAAATGCTAGCTTCATCTTCTTCACACAAAAGGCTAGAGAAAGAAAACGAAGAGGCAGAGGTCGCCATTGTTCTGGTTTCTCAACTTAGCACGTGCATATATATCAGAGAAAGTGAATGAGATTGTTCACTTCATGGAATCTAACCGCTAAATACAGGAGCGTTAGTGAGAGAGAGTGTGAGAGAAAAGAGGAGAAGATTGAGAGGGAAATGGCGATGTTGGTGCCGCCAAAAGGAGGGAAAGGAATGATAATTAGCGGTTAGAGAGGGGGTTATGGGATTTATACAGACTTACAGCGGATGATCCGAATCCCAAATAATCTCAATATGTTTATGTTGGGAGATTCATTCGGAGTGGAAGAGGAAGTGGTCAGGTGCGTGCAATTCCGCTTTTGGTGCTAAGGACAGCTGTTGGATGGGAAGTTTTGTCCCTTCTAATTCAAAGCCCTTTCACTTTGGTCATACCCTTCATCATCTTCACTGATTTTATTATTATTTTTTAACCACACATTTATGCTTTTAATTTTTAGTTTTTATTGCCCGTTTCATTTGGTTTCTCGCTCCAAGTCCAGAATAATCTAATTTCAGTCCTGCTTTGACCTAGCTTTGACGACAACAAAAATTTTAGGCAAATTTGAGAACAAAAGAAGACTGAGTATAAAATCCGGGAGTAAAAATCAATTTTTGAAACTTTGTTAGAGGCATTTATAAATTTACAATGATCTTCAGCAATCAACAATACAAATTTTAAACTTTAAATATAAGTTCTTCGTTTTATTTAATTCTCATCTGATATTCATTTTTTAACCGTGTGTTATTTTTTCCCCTTTTATTATATTTCAATTTGACTGTTAATTTTTAAAAGTTGTTCAAGCTTTTCGTCACTCAAAACTAGCATCTATTATCCAGCTAAGTGGCTGACAGAAAATTCTGCGTGGCAAATTGATTAAAATAGTTGAAAGTGTTAGGTAGATTAGAAAAATATAGAGGGGAAAAGATTACTTTATGATTAAATAAAAAATTTAAAATAAATAAAAACTGATAGACAAAAGTACGTTCAAAAATAAAATACAACTACCAAATCAAAATTGGAAGACGAAAATAAAAATGAAATAAAATAAAAAAAACTAAAGCTCTCGTTTTTAATTTAAATTTCGTATTTACCCTTTAAAATTAAATTATCCTTTAAAATTAAATTCAGTATTAGCTGAGGTCCAGAGTTGGATTAGACGTATATTCTCCACCCGTTTATTGTCTAATTCCTCTACAAAACTATAATACGCGAAAAAGTATATGAAATATTTTTTAGCAGTCTTTTCTTTTGACGGATTTAATGCTTTTTTTTTTTGTTGAAAAATGAAGTGATCTTCATCATATCAAGAATAAAAATGGATATTATAGTTTTGATTGATATCTTGCTTTTGTAATCAAAATAATCCCTCGTGTTCAGATAAATAACCACCTTGCATCATTATTTGGATTTGAAAAGGTATTGATATTCTATAGCATCTCTGTGTTCGTACGTTCTCATTCTCAAACTTACAGGCTTACATAAGCCAAAAAGCATAAACCTGCCCATTATAATATAATCTTGGATACAATTCCATCACTTTAAATTTAGACTTTTGCAATTATAAAATAAGCTCCATTATTCTTAGCATTATTACAAGTG